CTTACCTGCATCCTTAACCAATAAGAGCCGTGGCTGCGATAATTCTGAGGCAGCCTGGCCATCCCAAGGCCACGGGATCAAGCTTTGTCAACAAGTAAGCCACAAGTCTCTTCCAAGGCCCAAGTATTTGAGTCAGGACTCCCTTCCCTATTCCCCGCTCATTCATCAACAAAGAGCTGATAGGGCTTATGGATATCTGGCAGAGCCAAAGCCGGAGCCTGCAATAAAGCCTTCTTAATTTCTTGAAAGGTCCTCTCCTGAGTCTCAGTCCATGGGAAAGATGACTTGTTCCCTCAAGTGGCTTCATACAGGGGTTTTGCCAGCTCAGTGAATCTGGGTATCCAGAACTGGCAGAAGCCTGCTGATCCCAAGAACTTTCACAACTGCCTGCAGGATCTCAGGCTTGCTTTCTGGCTGGTGACAGCCACCTTAATGGCTTGCTTTCTGGATGGTGACAGCCACCTCTGCCCATCCCTTAATATGTACCCCAAGTACATTACTTCTGTGACACAGAGCTGAGCCTTCTTGGCAGAGACCTCAAACCCCAATTGGTCCAAGGTCAGGAGCAAATCTCTCGTGGCCTGAAGACAAGTGCCCTCATCCTCAGTGGCAATCAACAGGTCATCTACGTACTGTAGGAGGCTTACTTCTGGGTGCAAGGCCCAATATTCCTGCAAGTCCTGGTGTAGAGCCTCATCAAAGATCATGGGAGAGTTGTTGAACCCCTGTGGCAGTCGCGTCCAAGTGAGTTGTCCATTAAACCCCTGGTTCGGATCTCACTACTCAAAGGCAAAGATGGGTTGACTTTCCTTTGCCAAGGTCAGGCTAATGAAAGTGTCCTTGAGATCTAAAACAGTATAGACCCTTCTCTCTGGTGAGAGAGAGAGCTCAGCAGGGTATATGGGTTGGGGACTGTAGGGTGGATATCCTCTACCCTCTTGTTAATTTCTCTCAAATCCTGCACTGGGCAGAAATCATTAGTCCCTGCTCTATTGATGAGTAACAGAAGGGTGTTCCATGGAGATTGGCATGGAACCAGAATACTGAACTCCCTAAGGCGATTTACATGTTTAGTAATTCCTGCCCTGGCTTTGAGAGTCATTGGGCACTGTTTTATTCTTACAGGCTGAGCATTAGTTTTTAAAGTCACCATTATTGGTGGCTGTTGGATGGCCCTCCCTGGGGAATTAGTTTCTGCCCAAACTCCAGGGATTGCTGCCTGGAGGTCCTTGACGATAGTGGTTGGTCTCTTTTGAGGGGTTGGGGCATGCACTATCCATTCTTATTCTAATTGTAAACATAGGACATAGGCTGCATCCAGTACAGTCAAATCAGGAGGTCCTCTCCCAGAGAAGTGGATTTGAGCCTTCATTTTATTTAGCAGATCCCTACCCAATAAGGGATATAGGCACTCTGGGACCACCATAAAGGAGTGTAAAACTGTCTTCTTACCTAAGTTTACTTCCCATTTGGTAGTCCAAGGGTGCTGAGCAATTCCAATGGCCCCTTGCACCCAGGTGCTTTTACTGGTCAATTTTCCCATAGACTCTTTTAAAACTGAATATTGTGCTCTGGTGTCAACTAGGAAGTCGACAGCTCATCCCTCCACTTGTAGGGTCACCCAGGGCTCGTGGTGGAGGTTTGCCAAGCCCAGGCCCCTTCAGTTTTCTAGGTTCATGAACTCGAGGTTCTTGGGCTTGGAGGGAGACTGGGATCCCATCCTTTGAGGACATTCCCTAGCCCAGTGGCCCAGCTGCTTACAATATGTGCACTGGTCTCTTTTTAGGTGGGGCTGACCTTCCTGTGGGAGTTGCAGGGCTCGGGTTCCCTTTTTTATAGAGGGTCGGTCCTCCCATTTGGGATTCATTGCTCTTTCAGCCAACAATATCCTAGCCAGCCCTTTTGTTTGTCTTTCTTCAGGGGTTTCTCTGTTGTTAAATACCTGTTCACCACCGCCATCAGCTCAGAAAGGTTTTTGCCCTTGAAACCTTCCAGTTTTTTGAAGTTTTCGTTTTATGTCTGAATCTGCCTGATTTACAAAAGCCATATTGATGGCCATCTGATTCTCTGGGGCCTCTGGATTTATGGGAGTATAAGTTCTGAAAGCCTCTAACAGGTGTTCCAGGTACACTTCAGGAGACTCATCCCTTCTCTGCATCACCAAACTGACCTTAGACAAACTGATGGGGTGCTTAGCAGCTGCCCGGAGACCCCCCCATAAGAATCTGGCAATAGACTTTTAGGCGTTCCCTACCTTCAGGGATGTTATAGTCCCACCCCTCTGTTGGGCGCGTGAGAGGGAAAGCAGCCACAATCAAATCCTCACTCTCTGTTGGTCGCCCATCATTTCCAGGAACCATGTGTCTGCATTCCCAAAGGATGTGCTTCCATTCCTCAGTGGTGAACAGGATATTCAATAACTGTTGGCAATCATCCCAAGTGGGTTGGTGGGTAAAAAGAACGGTATCCAGGAGGGAAATCAGGGCCTGAGGCTTCTCCGTGAATGAGGGAGTCTGTAACTTCCAATTATATAAGTCACTAGTAGAAAAGGGAAAGTAGACTACTGGGGCAATTCCATCCTCCCTCAGGGACCCAATCTCCCTCAGGGGAAGAGCTCGCACAATTCCCCCCACGAGTGAGCGTGCATTGGGCTGGGCTTGGCCACGGGAGGTGCCGGCTCAGCCATGGGACCTGGGGATAGATACCAGAAAGGACTGGAAGATAAGGAAGATGCTTGTGACCTGCACTCGCTAGGTATATCCTGAGCACTCATTGGGGCCCTGTAAGGTGGCGGGAGTCAATCTTCCTCTGGCGCCAAGGAAAGAACCTTGGGACCCGATGGGTTTTTGGTCTGGACTTTCTTCAGGGGAAGCAAAGTGGCTGGCCCCCTTTGCCCCGATGGTGGGGGTGGCAGTAAGGGATGCAGCCAGTCGGGGGGAGGGGCAGCAACCAGATATCGCCAACCTAGGATGTATGGGACCTGGTCATGGTGACCTGGTTCCATGAAGATAACTCCTTGAACCCTGTAGATGAGGGACAGGTTAAAGGACCCTTCAGGTGGCCATACAACTTCAAAGGAGGGCCATTCGATGGTGCAGAGGGTCTGGAGGTGGGTCGTCTTGACACGGAGTCCAGACATGTCCAAAGCCGCTCATTTGTAGTCCTGAAAATGACTAAGAACTAGATCCAGGGGAGCTGAAGATGATGAAGCTTTTTGACCCATAGTGGGATAAACATCAAGAAAAAAAAACAATATAAGGAGAGGAATGAGAATGAGAAGAAGTAGGATGGAAAGTCGATAGACAAAGCAGAGCTCTGAGCAGAGGGTGAGGACAGTATGAGATGGCAGTTCCCTAGAGGGAGAAATGAAAATCTCGCAGTGCGCGGAGTCAGCCGAGAAGGCTGCCCCTGTTCCTGTCCCAAAAAGATTTGGCCAGCCTGGATTCCAGGTCAGACTCAACCAGAATCTTGAGTCTGGCCTGTCCAGATTCCATATGGGACTGGGCCAAGACTCTGGGTCGGTCCCGCCTGGATTCCACGTCAGACTGGAGCGTGACCCCTCAACAGAAGAGGAGTTGGGGTGACCCCATTCTCCTCCAGCTCTGGGATCAATAGTGCATCCGCCTAATCTCCATTGAGCCCCAGGATGTCAGGACTACCAAAAAGTGAGAGAGAGAGAGAGAGAGAGAGAGAGAGAGAGAGAGAGAGAGAGAAAGAGAGAGAGAGATGCCGGCAGAACTTACCAATTACCAAGACCAGCTCTGGTGGTGCTTCTGTGGGTCTGGGGGTGGGGGTCTCTATTCTGGAATCCCGGACAAGCCCCCACAATGTTAGGGTTTGAGAATCGAGAATAATTCCCACAGATACCCAAAAAAGATTATACAAAAATTTATTCAAGAATTTAAAAAAAAAAGGCAACAACCAAATAGCCCCAAACAACAGCAGGCAGGAGCTTTTATTGGGGCACTCCACAGAAACCCACAGCACCAAGCATCTTTTTAAAATAATTGGATTTCCCCATACCCTGTGTACGGGGAAAGTCTTGATTGGTAGGGGCTGCCTTCAGGGCTTTGGAATGTGCTAATATCTTTTAGAGTCAGAAGTTTTTGTCCATACCTTATAAAGCTTTTACATGTGCAATATGCCTGAGCTTGTCTGGGCTTGTCTAAAGAAGCTAGCCAAAATGGAGTCAGAGCATTCTGGCTCTTCAACAGAAAGAATTAATAGTATTTAGTGAGTGTATGTAAGTGTTCGGCAGTTTTCTAAGAGTTTTAGAGTCTCACTTTGTTGTAAGGTTGGCTTGGAACTTGCTATGTAAGCCAGTCTGGCCTCAAACTCATGATTCTCCTGCCTTAGCCTCCCCAGTGCTGGAATTACAGTCATGTGCCACCACATCAGCTATTTTATTTATGTATTTGTGGTGCTGTGTGTGCTCTACCACTGATACCCCAGCCCCAATTTTGATTTTTATTTCTTTAATTTCTATTTATTATGTGGGGGAGGAGGTGCACGGCACACATGTGGAAGTCAGAGGACAACTTTCTTCACTTGATTTTTCTTCCACTATGGGTTCTGGGATAGTTCTGAGTGTCAGGTTTGTGCAGCAAGGGCTTTTAAAGGCTGAGCCATCTTGTGGCTCCACCCGTAGATTTTTAATTAATTTATTTGCTCCTCTCGTCAACTGAAAAGTCACTGTATTTTCCTGTTTTATTACTGAAGAAACTGAAGCACAGAATGCTATACCTTTTTTTATTTTTCTTTTGAGAAAGGTTGGCCTAGAACATACTACATAGTCAAGGCTGGCCTTGAAAGTCTGATCACCCTTGCCTCCACCTTCCGAGCCGCCAGGATTACAGTAGTGCGGCCATCATGCCCAGTATAGGGTTCTGAACCAGGAGTGGAGCGCTGAGCTATTCAGGCTGTAGAGGAACCGCCATCTTGCTGGTAATCGGTAAAAACCACAACTCCCGGCATGCCTCGCGGCAGCGGCCCACCGCACACAACAAATCCCGACGTGCCCTTGGGCGGCCCGAAGCAGAGGGTTCTAGAAAGCGTGACGTGGGGTCGAAGCGGGCTCCGAGGCGGGTTCCTCAGACCTGGCGCTGCGGTCGCTGCTGAGGGGCCTGGGGACTCGGGCGGCCGCGGCGTTAGCTCGTCAGCCATGGCGGCGCTCGGCCGGCCCTTCAGCGGCCTCCCTCTGCGCGGCAGCTCGGACTTCCTGCCGCCGCCGTCGGCCTTCGCGGGCAAGGCCTTCCCGCCGCCCGGTGCCTCTGGCCCGGAGCTGGCCCCGCGACCGGGCCCCCGCGCCACCCCGAGTAGCCCGGGCGGGAGAGCGGCACGCGCACGGTGAGCAGCGGGCGGGCACGTTAGCCTCGACGGGGATGTTAACCTTGAGCCCCCTAGTCGCGTGGCCGCCCGAGCCTGGGGTCCCCTCGGCCTGGCCGTCCTCCCCTACCCACGCGGGGCCGCGGCGGTGGCAACTTGGAGAGCCTCTGGGACACTCGGTTTCCCTCTCGGCCAAGTGGGGACAGAAGTGGGTTCTTGTGTAGAGTGGCGGTCCTCCGTGATGGAGCTGCCGCCGCCCTGACAGAAGTGACAATTTGGGATTGCAACGTTACCCGGTTGTCCTTATGACCCGCTGTCTATCCCTGGTGGCCCCAAAAGGGATATTTAATTTGTGGCGGGAGAGCCTAGTTTTTTGCAGTAAGAAAGACCGGGTGCTGAAAACTTAAGTTCAAATCGTTGTCTCTACTGACTGACTTATTTTTGTTTTTCAACAGTGTTCCCATTCACTGCAGAAAAAAACACAAGCGAGAGGCGGAGGATGATGAGTAAGTTTCAGGGGCCGTTTGTACGCTTTTGTAGTCGCTTAATTTAGCACACGTATCCTATTTGAAACAAAAGCTAGTAACATTGTTTGCCTTTTAGGGATAGTTACTGGTGTTTGGAAAGTAGAGGAAAACACATTCTGCAACTAGTTGTAATGTTTCGGTTTTAAACTATCATTACAGACAAAAAGTAAAAATCAAGAGCTACATATTGAAATTTTTGTATTCTCCACAGAGGCAATCTTTTCACCTGCTTATTTCTCCTTTGGAAAGATGCTCTAAAAACCCTCAGAAATCTAAGTTGTGTTTGATAATGGTCTGGTCTTTTTTAGCTAGATTGCTGTTCACACTACAATGCTTTGTTTTTGGTTTTTCCTTAACTGTCATAGTTTATTCCAAATGAGTATATAGAGATCTGCCTGTTAATTTTTTTAAAATTCGTGTGTGTGTGTGTGTGTGTGTGTGTATGTATGTAGTCCAACTTTTTTTTTTTTTTTTTTTGCTTCCTGAGACAGGGTCTCACTATGTAACCCTGGCTGGCCTGGAACTCAAAAGATTCACCTGTCTCTGTCTCCACAGTTTTGGAAGTAAAGTTGTGCACCAGCACTCCCTGCCCAGAGGACAGTCTTTGGGAATTGGTTCTCACCTTCTACCATGTTGGTTCTAAAGATCTAGCTCAGGTTGCCATACTTGGGCACCTTACCAGTTGAATCACCTTGCCTGTTTTGTTGTGCCTGTTCTGATATTCAAACCTAGAGCCTAGCTTTTTTTTTTTTTTTTTTTTTTGAGACAGGGTCTCCCTGTAACTCCAGCAGGCCTAGAACTCATGGTGTAGACCAGGCTAGTCTTGATCTCAAAGAGATCCTCCTGCCTCCCCGAATGCTGGGATTAAAGGTATGCAGGGACTCTCCCCTGAGCTTCATCCATCCTTAATCCTATCCTGAGTAGTTCAACTTCTGTGTTTGAGTTCCACCCCCGAACCCACACACACCTTGTAGAAACTGAATTTTCTGCTGAGCACAGAGGTTCACTTCTATAATCCTAGCATTTGGTTGCCTGAGGTAGGAGAATCAATGAAAGTTTGCCCTGGGCTACAGAGTGAGACCCTCTCTCAAAAAACAAAGAAAAGCCCAAAGTGGAAAAGCACCTGGAAGGTAGAAGCAGGAGGATCAAGGCCATTCTCAGTCACATAGTGAGTTTGGCGCCAGCCTGAGATACCTGAGAACCTATCTTAAGAAAAGAAACTGAATTGTCTAGACTTGTTGATACATAGACTCATTAAACTGTGTGCTTGAAAGTTGACTTTTTTTTTTTAATTTTATTTATTTTATGTTTATGCATGTATTGTCTGCATTTAGGTTAAGTGCACCTGTGTCGTGCAGTGCCCGAGGAGATCAGAAGAGGCTGTCGGATCCCCTGGGACTGGAGTTACGGACAGTTGTTAGCTGCCATGTGGGTACTGGGATTCGAACCTGGGTCTTCTGCAAGAACAACCAGTGTTCTTAACTGCTGAGCCATGTCTCCAGCCCCAAAAGTTGCCGTATTTTTAATGTATGAGTGCATGTGGCGATACCAGAGTGTGGAGGCCAGAGGTGAATCTTGGGCGTCCTTTCTTAGGTACTATCCACCTTTTTTTTTTTTTTAAATACTCTTTGTGTGTGTGTGTGTGTTGGGCATACATGTAGGTGCTTGTGCACCTTTATATGAAGGCCAAAGATTGACCTCATGTGTCTTTTCTCAGTTGCTCTCCACAGGGTCTCTCACTTGAACCCAGAGCTTATATTCTGCTTGCTCTGAGAATCCTGTCTTCACTTCGTTTAAAAATTTTTTTAATTTTATTTTATGTGTATGTGTGTATTGCCTGCATGTAGGTAAGTGCACCCATGTCATGCAATGCCCAAAGACAGAAGAGGCTGTCAGATCTCCTGGAATTGGAGTTATAGACAGTTGTTAGCTACCATGTGGGTGCTGGGATTCAAACCAGGGTCTTCTGCAAGAACAACCAGTGTTCTTAACCACTGAGCCATCTCTCCAGCCCTGAGCCCTATGATTATAGGTGGACCACCATGCCAACCTAGCATTTATGTGTGTACTGGTGATCTCAACTTTGGTCTTCATGCTTGCATAGCAAGTGCTTTTAAATCCAGTGAGCCATTTCCCTACCTCCTGCCTTGTTTTTGAAATAGGATATCTCACTTACCTGGATCTTACCAAGTAAGCTGGGTTAGTTGTCCTGTGAACCCCAGGGACATCCTCTCTGCCTCCTTGGTGCTAGGATTACAATCATACAGAGCAAGCTGGCCTTGATCTCACAGAGATCCACCCTCCCCTTCCTCCGAAATGCTGGAATCAAAGGTGTGCACCACCACCACTCCCAGCCATGCTGAGCTTTTTTATGTGGATTCTGGAGATTGAACCCAAGTCCTTATGCTTATGTGGCAGTCACTTTACCTACTGACCCCAGCCCAGAGAGCTGCCTTAGTTAAAAAACCCCTGGATCAGACACTACAATCTTCATTCCTGGGGATTGCTATAGATAAAATGGGAACGTTTTAACTTTTGTTTTGGGTATGTTACTGAATAAAAGATCCCAATGCTTGCTTAAAATAGTAAATAAATAGCTTAAAGTTAGAAGCCATTGGTTTAAAAAGTTAACTACCTTTCATTTATGAATGGAAAGATTGAGGCCTTAAGAAGAGGTGACCAAAACATCGGATCTATATGCCCAGATACGGGCTGTTCAACTTGCTGCCTTCATTGCTCTTCTTGGTATCTAGAAGTCATTTTGTTGTTTGGTTGGTTTTTGTTTGTTTTTTGTTTTGTTTTGTTTGTCTGCCTGTTTGAGACTGGGTCTCCCTGTAGCCACAGCTGGCCTGGAACTGGCTATGTAGACTAGGCTGGCCTCAATCTCACAGAGATTTGCCTGCCTCTGCTTCCTGAATACTGGGATTGAAAATATGCTGGGACTAAAGACATGCACCACCAGCTTGTTTTAAAAATTTATCTGTCTGTGTGGGATTTTTTTGTTTGTTTGTTTTATTTGTTTTTTGTCTTTTTGAGGCAGGGTCTCCCTATAATCCCAGCTGTCCTGGAACTCACTATGGCCTCAAACTCACAGAGATCCTCCTGCCTCTGCTTCCTGAGTGCTGAGACTAAAGACATGTGCCACCATGCCCGGCCTCTGTGTTTTTACACATGCATGTGGGTGTTCATGGAGGCCAAAAGAGGTGTTGGATCCCCTGGAGCTAGAGGTATAAGTGATTATGAGCCATCCTTTGTGGGTGCAGGGACCCAAAACTTGGGGTCTTCTGCAATAGCAGTATATATTCTTTAAATACTGAGCCTTCGCTCTAGTCCCTAGAAGCCTTTTAATTCACATTTTCTTTAGGGCTTAATATTGATCTTCAGTTATTTGTAAAGTAAGCCTGTGGGGCATGAAATAACCTTGCAATAGCAAGAATTGTGTATGATCAAAGAGCAGTTTGATAGGTGAGTTTTTAGATGTGATAGGAAAGTATTCTGTCTAGATTTATTCTCTTTTTTTTCTTAGCTGGTGTTTCATATATGTAACTTTTTCCCTGTGCTTTCTAAAACTTCATATACTTTAAATCAATACAAATATTAGAGGAATATTTACAGTTCAACTTTTTCCTTGAGACAAAGACTCACTTTGTAGTTCAGACTGGCCTTAGATTTGGAATCCTCCTGCCTTAGCTTCCGCAGTGCTGAGATCACAAGCATTTTGCCACCTTACCCAAGTATGGCTAGATGTTCTTTTTGGTTTTCTGAGACAGGATCTCTCAGGCTGGCTTTGAGCTTGCTATGTAGCTGAGATTGGTTTTAAATTCCTGATCTTCCTGCATCTTGTCTCCTAAACATTCTTAGTACTTTCTGATGAATTAAAACTCTAAACCAAGCATGTACTATGAGTTCTCAGGGTTTGGGTTTTTTGTTGGTTGGTTGGTTTTTTATTTGTTTTTAGGTTTAAGAGGATATTATTGTTAGATTTTATATTGCCAGAGACTTTAATGTTGATTTTCACAGTATTAACATGAAATAGAAATTTCACCTTGTAAAACATGTTCATTTCTGGGACTGGAGAGATGGCTCAGCGGTTAAAAACATTGGTTGTTCTTGCAGAAGACCCGGGTTCGAATCCCAGCACCCACATGGCAGCTAACAACTGTCTGTAACTCCATTCCCAGGGGATCCGACAGCCTCTTCTGACCTCCACGGGCATTGCACGACACAGGTGCACTTACATGCAGGCAATACATGCATACACATAAAATAAAAATAGTTTTAAAAACAATGTTCATTTCTGCTTCCTTTGACCCCCCTCCGAGTTTAGTGACTCCAAAGTTGTGGTCTAGTCCTGAGACTATACATGCTGATGCCTGAGCTTCCCAAAAGAGCTTTTGGTCTAAATACTTTTTTTTTTAAGGGGCGGGGGGCAGTTGACTGCTTTCTTGCTTCATACTGTTTTTAGCTAACATTGGGCATATTCTAGTGCTTATAAATACTAGTTCATGGTAAGTGCTTTGAGAGTTAATAATAAATATTGAAAAAAAAAGTTAACTTCCCTAAAAAAGCAGGGATTTAGTGAAAATGGCATAGAGGTAGGAGTTGGGAGCGCTGAGACCTAATCACCAGTCAGCTTACTGTGATACTTTGAAATGGCCAGTTTAATATTTCTATGGCCTCATTTTGAAATCTCCAAAAGAAGCAAGTCGGAGCTGTTGAATTCTAGAGTCCCTCTGAAGCACTCATTTGTCTATGAAGCAGTAGATCCTGTCATTGACAGAGAGCTACATGATGTCCTGTGACATTTGATGGGAACCAAGAAACTAGTGCTGATCACCTGTTCTTAAAGTGTTTGGAAACACACTGGATGGGACATGGATTTTTGTTGGTAGGAAATACAGGACAGCAGCTAGGCGCCTTCCAATGATCTGTGGGAACTGCAACAATAAGGCGAAATATGGCTGGTGCAGAACTGCCACTTTGTCATTTTTTATTGCTTTGTTTCCCACTTGATCTTTAAGTTCTGACATTGAACACTTAATCTCAATAAATTCTTAGAGGTTCTATATAAATTGATTTTTTTGAAAAGATTGAAGGAAATCTCAGGCTCTTAAAATGACAGGAAAAAAATGATTAGCCACTGTCAAAAAAAGCAGAGATTTTACGTTGAAGAATTTGGTTTTAAAAGTTTTTAATTGGCTGGAGAGATGGCTCAGTGGTTAAGAACACTGGCTGTTCTTGCAGAAGACCCGGGTTCAAATCCCAGCACCCACAAGGCAGCTAACAACCAACAGTAACTCCAGTTCCAGGGGATCTGATAGCCTCTCCTGTGGGCAATGCTCAACAGGAGTGCACTTACCTACATGCAGACAATATACACGTACACATAAAATATTAAAAAAGAAAGTTTTTAACTGAATAAAGATGATATTTCATCCATATTAGTGTTTTTTATCAAATTTCTCCTTCCAGGTGCCCAGTAAGAAAGAAGCGACTGACTGAAGCAGAACTCTGCGCTGTTCCTGATGAGTGGATTCTCGGCACACACCAAGATCTAGAGAGTCACAGGGTAAACACGTGTCCTAGTGGCCTGTCTGTACCCAGCATGTTAGATGCTATTTGTGAAGAAATGGATCAAACAACTGGAGAACTGCAATGTGAAGTTGCCCGAAGGAGGCTTCAGGAGATTGAGGACAGGTAACTGACTTGTCGCTGCTTGCTGTAGGTCCTCAGTTACATCTCTCGTAAGCAAGTCAGGGTTGTCATTTGGTGATACTTGATCCTCAGCCTCTCAGAAAGGACTCTAGAAATCAGAGAATGAAAAGTATACATTTCAGTGTTAAAATGAGCTCTAGCAAACGCCACCAAACATTTTCACTCACAGTCTGTGAATGTTCATTTTGGTTTATGAAAGTTCTCCAGGACACAAATTTCTTCAAATTTGAGTCTATTCTAAAACGTCTCTGTTAAATAAAATACTAAGCAGCCCTTCTCACCCAGGAGAAAAATGTAGCCCATTTTGTCATTTTTCTCCAAGGTATAGCCTTACCTGATCTTTCACGACAGTATCTGTGATTTTACTACAACACAAAATAGCTTGACTAAATTTTTGGTTTTTCTCTGCTTCTACTTCTTTACTTAGGATAATTGACGAAGACGAAGAAGTTGAAACTGACAGAAATGTTAATCACCTCCCCAGTCTTGTCCTTTCTGATACCATGAAAACAGGTTTGAAGAGAGAATTTGATGAAGTCTTCACAAAGAAGATGATTGAGTCTATGTAAGTGTTGGTGCAGAACATTTCAACTTAACTGGGGTCTTGGAGGGAAGCTCACTCTTTCAGTCAGCTCTCTCTGTAGCTCCTAATCTCGAGACAGAGAAAGACCAGTAGCTTCTATGTTTTGCCCAGTTTAGAGACAGGCTCTTTCCTACTTCATTGGTATGAGCATTCATTACACATGCAGGAGTATAAAGTGTTTCTTACCTGTTTACCCCTGGGTTCTTCTGTGGTCCTGAAATGCACCACAGTCTATCTGGGAAGGGGTCAACTGGCAAAGGAGAGCCTGTTCTCTAACATTCTTGGAGGAGGATATTGGAACCACATTTTTGAAACCTGGTTTTTCTATTTTTCTTTATCTAGACACCCCATGGAGACTATGAAAGAACAATGAAACCAAACATTGTTTAAGCTGGGCGTGATGGCCTACAAGCCTCTAATCCCTGGGCTCTGGATTCTGAGACCAGATGAGTTCCAGGCCAGCCTGGGCTACATATTAACTCTATATCAAAAAAAGAATAAAGAAGGACTGGACATATGACTCAGTGATAGATCACTTGCCTTAATGTTAATTTTTAAAAAAACAGTCTAGCTGGGCATGGTGGCGCACACCTTTAATCCCAACACTTGGGAGGCAGAAGCAGGCAGATCTCTGAGTTCAAGGTCAGCCTGGTCTACATAGTGAGTTCCAGGACAGCTGGGGCTACAGGGAGACCCTGTCTCAAAAAGACCAAAAATAAATAAATAAGTCTATAGGACCTGGAGAGATGGCCCAGGGGTTAAGAGCAGTGGATACTCTTGCTAAGGACCCAGGTTCAATTCCCAGAACCTACATGGCAGCTAACAACCATTTGCAACTCCAGTTCCAGGAGACTCCAACTCCCTCCTCTGGCTTTCACAGGCAATGCATGCACAAGTGCACTTACATACATGCAAGCAAAACACTCATACATATAAATTAAAAATAGGTGGTAGTGCAGTTTAATGAGCTGGGTTAACTGGTTTGTTGTATTACCAGAGTAGAAATAAGCAGCAGGTGAGAGAACAGTAGTGACTAAGGGAAGAGGATAAGGGAGAAGCACAGCAGCAAACATAACCTACAAGGTAAAGAGGCAGACCAGAGACAGCTCAGGCTGTGTGCATAGAGGATCTCAGGTCCTCATTATCTGTTGTGCAAAGTAACATGTGTAAGCTTTACAGTGCTACTGAAGTACTTCCTAGAAAAGCCTTAGACTCAGTGAGGGTAAGTTCTAAGTATCTGAAGTCTCTTGGGACATGAGACCCAATGGTGCCAAGAAGATGAGGGTGTTGCTACCTTCACACATAGTGGAAGTGATTTTAACTCAGAGGTTCAGCTTACTACTTGGTGTTAAAGCACAAAGGTTTGCAGTCAAGCCCTAACTTGGGTTTATAATTAACTACTTCAGCCCTGAGGGTGGGTAAATACTGTACCCAGAAATAAGCAGGTCAAATTGCCCTCCTGCTTAAAACGGTACGTACTACTCTTGAGAGTATTCATCATTGTATTTTTTTTCTTATTTGCCTTTGGGTTCCAGAATTTTTCCCTATGGCAAGGCTAAGAATTTTTCTTCTCTCTCTCCCTCCTCCCCCACTTTTGAGACAGTTTTTTTTTTAATATTTTATTATTTTTATTTTATGTGTATGAGTGTATTGCCTGCATGTATGTGAGTGTACCCGTGTTGTGCAATTCCTTGGAGGTCAGAAGAGGGCTTCCAATTCCCCGAGAACTGGAGTTAAGGACAGTTTGTAGCTGTCGTGGATGCTGGGAATTGAACCCGGGTCCTCTGTAAGAGCAGTCAGTGCTTTTAACTGCAGAGCCATCTCTCCAGCCCCCTTGAGACAGTTTTTATGAAGCCCAGGCTGGCCCAGAACTCTGACCCATCTACATACACCTCCCAGATGCTGGAATTATAGGCATGAGCCACACTACTCCTAGTTATGGGTGGGGAAAATACATGACTATGTGTGTGTAATCATTTTGGTTTGACCACAAAGCATTATACTTCATAACTATATTTAAAAAAAGACATCTGAGATGATTTAATATGACCCATTTTCATTTATAATGATTTTTTTAAATTATTCTTATTTTTATTTTATGTCTGAGTGTTATACTTGAATGTGTCGAGTGCACCCGTGTCGTGTAGTGGGGCGGGTGGGGGGTGCAGAAGAGGGCATCAGATCCCCTTGAACTGGAGTTACGGAGAGTTGTTAGCTGCCATGTGGGTGCTGGGATTCAAACCCGGGTCTTCTGCAAGAATAGTCAGTGCTCTTAGCCACAGAGCCATCTCTCCAGCCCCCATTTATAATGATTTAATATGACCGTGATCCACAGGGCTTGGGAAATAGTGTAGTAGCAGAATGATTACCCAGCATCCATGAGACCCTGGGTTTGATATTTAACACCACAGACCAAAAATCTTTAGTTATACATATCTGCTCATTCAAAGTGTGTGTGTGTGTGTGTGTGTGTTTACAGCTGTGGATATAGCTCAGTGATAAGTACTTCCCTACCAATGTTCAAGGCCCTAAATTCCATCCCCAGTACCCCACTCCATCTGTACAACTAGTTTATTTGGTTAAAAGTACATATGGGGTGGCGGGGGCTGGAGAGATGGCTCAGCAGTTAAAAGTATTTGCTACTCTTCTAGAGGACCTGTGTGTTTAGTTCCTAGCACCACCATGGTGCTAGCTGACAACCAACTATAACTCCAGTTCCAGGGGATCTGACACCTTCCTCTGATCTACTTGGGCATTGCACACTTGTAATTGGGCTTACGTACATGCAGGCAAAACACTCAAATACATAACAAAAATAAATCCTTTGTTTTTTAAGTACATACAGGCCTGGCAATATAGCTCAGTGACAAAACACTTAACTGTGTGAGGCCCTGGTTTTAATCTCCAACACTTCAAAGAAAAACATTGCATGTGTAACTGAAATTTTATGTATTTTGAGTGGCCTTGTCTTATTTTGAGACAGGGTCTCCCTGTAGCCCTAGCTGGCCTGGAACTCACTATGTAGACCAGTCTAGCCTCAAACTCAGAGATCTGCCTGCCTCTGCCTCCCCAAGTGCTGAGATTAAAGGTGTGTGCCACCATACCCAGCCTTGAGTGGCCTTAAAGACCAATTTGAAGGGCTAGAGAGAGGCTCATCAGTTAAGAGCACATACTACTCTTGGAGAGGACTGGAGTTCAGTTTCTAGCACCCATGTCAGGTGACTTACTGTTCTCTGTAACTCCAGCTCTAGGGGACTCAACACCTCTGGCCTCTGCAGGCACCCACACATAGGTGCACATATCCACACACAGACACACATATGCATAGTTAAAAATGGTAATAAAAATTTAAAAAGACCAATTTGAGTTCTCCTAAATCTTTTTTAATTAAGAGATTCAATTTGCATAATGAGAACTAATAAAAAGATGAAAGGCATCAAGATCAAAATAAAAACGAAACTCAGTGGCAATAATTAATGTGTAGAAATATGCAAAAAACAGAATCCCAGAAATCTTTCAGGTGCCATTAGTTTGTTTTGTTTTGTTTTGTTTTCTTGAGATGGGATCTCCCTATAGCCCAAGCTGGCCAGGAACTCATAATGTAGACCATCATAGGCAAACCTCAGTCTCACAGAAATTAAAAGTACACTCATCTAGATATCATTTGGCGGCGGGAGGGGGGTTGTTTTTGAGACAGGGTCTCCCTGTAGCCCCAGCTGTCCTGGAATTCACTATGTAGACTAGGCTGGCCTTAAACTCACAGCCACCTGGGATTAAAGGTGCATGCCACCACGCCCTGCCTGGTACCATTAATTCTTAACTGTAATTTATTAAATATCAAACATGAGCTTTTCAGCATGCAGCTTTTATTTTCATGTCCTAAAGTTTCCGATAGAAACCTGTATTTTATATCTTAGGAGCCGTCCTTCCATGGAGCTTGTGCTCTGGAAACCTCTCCCTGAACTCCTTTCTGATAAGCCAAAGCCATCGTCTACTGCTAAGAACTACATGGGAGAGAGCCAAAGGAAGCCTGCAGCTGCCTGTACTGCCTTCTCACAGAGAACTGAACTGTTCTTGGAACCTTCGCAAACCGAGATGCCTCTTTACAATAGTCTGGAGACAGCTGCTAGTACAGAAGAAGAGATGGAACTCTAGAAACCAGTTTCTACTTGACTAAACTTGTCAAGTTTTAGAGGGCTCCTGTGTTTAGTAATGAGCCTATCTGCATAGTATAGGGATGTGAAAGTTTTATGAAACGGGTGTAATATCTCCACCTGTGATTTGGGGTGGGACTGTCATTTTGGGTATCCATTTATTCAACTTTTTGCCAAGGAAGCTTATCTCAAGGGAAAAGCAGTTTTCTAGCAGGCTTACTCAAGAAGTGTAACAGTCTCTTTAAAGACAATTGTAGAAGCTGTATGTGTAAGGTGACATAAGTCATCTGTCACATTGTCTAAGCCATTCATTCTTGAGATGATTATAAAGAAGGATGCTTCTAACTGCCACTGTACCCTGACTGTTGAATCTGAGGGATTGAACTGTTCATAGTGGTGACTGTATTCTTGGGGAACAGGAGGGAAGAAATTTACCAGAGGCAATGAAAGGTGTATTGGTGGTCAGTTCAACACAGCTGCATTGTTCAGCAGCCAGTAGCTCCTTGGTCTCCCTTTCATAAGTGATAAGCTCAGTTATTCAGTGATGTTTACAACTCAATTAACTTTAATTGATAATTTAAAAGATGAGGTAAACCCTCTGTAAATTGCCTGTGGGGGAAGCATCTTTTAATTAATCCTGAGGAAGTGCTATATCAGCTAAATTCAGCATTGATAATGTCTAGAGTTTAAAAAAGGGGGAATGGTTGTATTAGCAAGTTGAGTTTTTTTGTTTGTTTTGTTTTTAATGTTGGTTGGTGGAAAATAGCCTCCTGCCATCAGGAAAACTTTATCCACTTGAATACCTAAACCAGGCTCAAGGTATTCTTTGGAAATAACCAGGGTTAAAGTTTTTACTTTCTCAGGAAGAGCTCTTTAGTGTGGCAGGGTGCATAGTACACAGCCAGATGGCAATTCCTTTATTTCTATAGAGCATCCACTGTGGAATAGCAGATATATGTGACAGTGTAGAACTGCCTCTTCCACACACACAACACCCAGTTCATTGTCGTGTTCTGGGTGCCTTCCCCCTTTGTAGAAAAAATGAAAAGGTTTATGCCAAGTAGAGGTGAATTTTTAGAGCCTAGCTTCCGGGCATTTTTGAACCCCATGCTGAAACCCCCCCTTGTTACAGATGGTATAGAAGTCACAGCTCTGCTCGATTGGACCATTTCTTCTCTTGCCTGTTGTTCCTGCTCTATTTCTGTCTGAATAGTCAGGAAAGATTTAATGTTTAATATTTAAACAAAATATTTATGTCTACACAATAAAATTATTCAAACTTCAAACCAGTATTGAAACCAGTTGGAAACCAGCTAATAGTTTCTTCATCTCAAACTCAGGGGTGAATGTAAACTGTATTCTGTTGAAATGTGCAAATGTTTGGTTCATGTCATTTTAAAAACTCCTGGCTTGTTTAATGGGACCAATGTATAAAGTTTATAGCCTTAAATCTCCATGCTAAAAAGTTTTAGGACAATTCAGAAACATGAAGTGGCTGCCCAGACTTGGCTGGTGTTAGAGTGGAAAGGAAATGGCCACTTTCCAAAGGGCCTGAGACACCAGGTAGGTGTCTTCTGTGGGATCTGGGTAGGCCTCTGACAAGAGGTCTGAAACAAGACTTTGATGTGCTTGGTAACCATAGGAGAGAATCAGGGTCTGTCAGCCAAGATCGAGACATCGGGTCTCAGGAGTCCTTATCTGACATGATCATTATTTCTGCAGGAAAGTGGATGTTTATGCTCCTTTTTGGACTTCATCTTCTTGCAGATTTTGTACACAGCTTGTCTTCATCCTTGTGGTGCTTGCTCATCTGAGCCGTCTCCACAGCCCAATGCCTCTGCGTTTTTCCTTTTGTAGCATAAGGCTTTTGCTTTTGCCTTAAGGTTTTCCTAGGAGATGAACAGATCTTTTCCTCTTGTACAGTTGTTGCAGCATGGATCAAACATTGGCTCAGTATGCTGATGTGTGAAGATGAAGCAGGTGAGCTTTATGAACAAATGTGTATGTTCTGAGTTTGAGTAGGGTGTGTGGGTTTTTTGGTTTTGGTTTTTATTTTTAATAGGAAGAAAGTAAATCCAGTTCTCGCAGATATTAATCAGTTAAAAAACTACTCATTCATGAAAAGGTAAAAATACAAAATTTAGAAATAGAATAGGGCTTGGAACCATGGGAAAAATGTCAACCAATACATTCATTGGCTGCTTTGGATCTGGAGCCTGGTTTTGTTTAATAACAAAAATGGTGCAGTATTAGGAAAGTTCTGGAAGATGCTGTCAATTTTACTTTAAAATGAGAATCTGGTGTTTCTGTATTTTATCATTTTCAATAAAACTTCTCAAGTGTTTTGGACTTTTAAGATACTTGTATTCCTATACTTAAGTAAATTAAATAAGACATTTTTCACAAATAGGATTTGTTTTGTCACTATTAAAAATCTGAATTTTAAACAGATATTTGGTAGACTGGTGGTTCATAGCCATCATCAGCTCCTTCAACTTCAGTGCTTGTCTGATCTCCAGTAGCTTTTCCAGAACTACCACCCTCACCACAAAGCTCCCGAGTTTTCCCAATTCAGACTTGGGCCTCTTCTGCACTTTCACTTTTCTGACAAAGACATCATGAAGAGGATAAATAGACTGGCAAGCCTTTTCCATGTCTTTCCCGGTGTTGTCTAGAATCAGTTTACTAACCAATTCTTTCAAGTCATTTGTCTGTACTTCTTGGATTTCCAGCATCCTCCAGATCTGGCAGACATGCTGGTGCTGTGCCAAGGAGGTCTTGTGTATCTGCTTGTTTCATTTTTTAGTAAAACCAACACAGAAGTAACCATCAGTTGTCTTGACATCAACATGAGCTTCAATCATTGCCAATTTTTGGCCATGGAACACTTTTTAAATTATTTTTTGTGTGTATGTATATTGCCTGCATGTAGGTAGGTGCACCCATTTCATGCAATGCCTATAGAGGTCAGAGAAGGGTATCGCATCCCCTGGATCTGGAGTTAGGGATGGTTTTTGCTCTTATCCTCAGTAATGAGCTTGAATTTTCTAAATGCAGCTTGGTCATTCTATAGACTAGCAAGATTCACTTTCAAACACACCCTTGAGGCCATCAGAAGCAATTTTGGTTCCTTGATCTTTGTGACTAGTGTTTTTCCAATATTTCTACTTGTAAACATAGCCAGAGCTTTCCCATCACATACCAATCCTTAGAAAATGGATCCTCCACTTTGCCCTAGCTCCCTTCTTGCTGCCTCCATCAGGTGTTTGTTCTTTCAACTGCTCTTGAGAGCCAAGAGGGAAATAGATTTTAAGTTGTAATTAAAGCAGCATTCCTATCAGTGGAGGACTCACATTTATCCTGAAAAGGGTGATTATGTTGGCTGAAAGTCAGTTTTATACCTGAAATGAGCTGTTCTAGCATAAGCAGCCTCTTCTGCCATTGTAAACGTGCTATGGCCTGCTTTTCCTGAGAGCAGGTTGCTGTCAGCGTTCAGATGCCCACGTGACTGAGCCTTCACAAGTGCAAATGGAGAGTTGGAAACAGTTTATAAAGTTGACAGAGGTGCTTGGGACTTTTAAAAATAGGAAATGGGCAAATTCTATGATGTTGATGCGCATGGTGGTTAAAAGCTGGTCACTGGGTGGCAGTATTGCCTGCACATTTACTGTCATTTGATAAATGGATCCCTGACTCCGCAGAGTTATCTCAATTGTAAATACAAAAAGCAAAAGATATTGTCTTACTTTTAACCAAAAAAAATTGAAAATTTACCATAGATAAAAGTGACCTTACTCAGGCTGGAGAGATGGCCCAGCGGTTGAAAGCAGTGACTGCTCTTGCAGAGGATCCAAGTTCGATTCCCAGCACCCACATGTCAGCTACAAACCTCTGTAACTCCAGTTCCAGGGGATCCTACGCCCTCCTCTGACCTCTGAGGGCATCACACAACACGAGTACACTTAACATACGTGCAGTCAATATACTCATACACATAAAATAAAAAAAAATTTTTTAAGATGACCTTACTCAACAGGGGGTTGGAAACTAAAGCTGAAGTAGGTGGTGACCATTTAGCATCTAACCCAGCTTCCAGGTGTGTTCTTCCATTTGACCAGTTGGTTTAACAGAAATCTGTAACAATATGTCCTGCCAGGCATAGTAGTGTATGCCTTTAATCCAGCACTTAGGGAGGCGGGGCAGGTGGATCTCTGCAAGATCGAAGCCAGCTTGGTCTATATAGTGAGTTCTGGGATGCTGGGGCTACAGGGAGACCCTGTCTCAAAATACCTATATCATAGTTTGATTTTCTGTCACTATGATAAAATAGTCTTACCAAAAACAACTTGAGGAGGAAAGGGTATTTCATCTTGTAGTCCACTGTTGAAGGAGTTCAGAGCAAGAACTTGAAGCAGAAGCCATGGAGCAACACTGCTTACCGTCAGGCTCAAGCTCAGCTAGCAATTTCATACAGTACAGGCCCTCCTGCCTAGGGATAGACCACCCAGAGTGGGCTGGGCCCTCCTGCACCAATTAGCAATCAAGAAAACGCCCTACAGACAGGCCACAGGCCAATCTGATGGAGGAAATTCCTCAATTCCCTCTTTCCACGTGTGTCAAGTTGACAACCAAGATTAGCTATCACAACCTATGGTGCTGTCGTTGAGTTTCATTGAAATAAAGTGCAGTGGCTGGGGGGGGGTGAATGGAGAGATGGCTCAGTGTTGTTAAAAACACTGGCTGTTCTTGCAGAAGACCCGGGTTCGAATCCCTAGCACCCACATGGCAGCTAACGACTGTCCATGACTCCAGTTCCAGGGGATCTGACGGTCTCTTCTTTCCTCCTCAGGAATATGCACAACATGGTGCACTTATCTATATGCAGGCAATACACGCATACACATAATTTTATTTTTTGACCTTTTTGAGACAGGGTCTCCCTGTAGCCCCAGCTGTCCTGGATTCACTATGGAGACCAGGCTGGCCTCGAACTCACAGAGATCTGCCTGCCTCTGCCTCCTGAGTGCTGGGATTAAAGGCATGCGCCACCACACCCAGCCATAAAATATTAGAAAAAAAAAAAAAGTGTGGTTCAGGAATGTCAGGTGTGATGGTGCTTATCTATAATCCCCATGCTCAGGAGGTACAAGACCAGCCTGTCCTGCACAGTAAGTTCCAGGCCAGCCAGGGCTAGTGAGACCCTGTCTCAAAGTACAAGATAAATAAAAATAAACTCAAGGAAATAGAGGCTTTTGTAAATCAGTTTGGTTCAAATATTCTAGCTCTGTTATTCCTCTAGCTCCTCAGACTACCAGTGGCATTTCAGAGATGAAGCAAATTCGTTTCAAACAGTGTTTAAGCTCAAACTCCAGCAAAACAGTGATGTTGACTTTCAGCATGTAAAAACTGGGAGATTTATTGGGAAGAGAGGGTTCAATGGGAAGGGGATAAGAGGGTAATAGGGGGCAGTGATATTTTTTAAAATCACAAGGGTAAACTTGTGAGGTGGTGCAGTTCTATAATCCCAGCACTTACATGGAGGCAGGAGGATCCAGACTTCAGAGTCATTATGAGCTACAAACCCAGTTTAAGGCCCGCCTGGGCTACATGAGACCATCTCAAAAAACAAATGGACTGGGGAAATGAGTCAGTCACTAACTAAAGTGCTTGCCTTGCAAGCATAAAGATGGGAGTTCAGATCCCCAGCACCCACATAAAAAACTGGGCACAACTGTAAGCCCAGCACTTGGAAACTAGTGTAGCTTCTTAAAGTCTATTTACCCTTTTGTACACAGATAAATGTAGCTCTCAATGCTCATCAAAGAAGCTTCTTTTTATAGCAGATGGAGACTCACGAAGTTCCACAACTGTTCAAAATGCAGAGAATAAGCGGCCAGTGGGTGCCTTGCCACAACTGAAACATCTACAAAGCAACCCCTACACCTAAGGCTCGGGGAGCATAGAAGAGAAGGGCAGAAGACTATAAGAGCCAGAGGACCAGGCTGCCTGCTGCTAGTGTCTCTAGACATGACAGGAAAGCTGCACCTATGGAATCTCAACAAGACCTGCATGACAACAGCTGACATGACAAGGTCCCAACTCTAATGTAGGGCTACAGTCAATGGAAGCTGAGGAACAGAGAATCCATTTACTCCAGGGAAGAGCTCCTTGATGGGTTATCCAATACCAGTGGTTAGTCATAAGCACATGTACGTAGGAGGCACAACTAAATGAACTCAGTACTGTTATATATATTGCAACAATAATCAAGGACGAGATCATGAAGTTGGGTGGGAGGAACTGGAGTGGGGAAAGGGTAGTACAGGGGTGATGTAAATACAGTGCTCATGTATAAAATTGTCAATTTTTAATTTAAAGTACGGGCAGGCAGGGCTGGAGAAAGGGTTGGAGCACTGATTGTTCTTGCAGAAGACCTGGGTTCAATTTCCAGCACCCACATGGCAGCTTACAACCATCCATAACTCCAGCTCCAGGGGATCTGACACCCTCTTCTGGCCTCTGTGGGCTTTGCACAACATGGGTGCACTTAATATATGCCAGTAAAAGTACACGTACACAAAAATAAAAATAATGTTTAAAAAAGGTGGAAGTTTCCTTGCAAAGACACTTGATCACCCCAGATTAATCTCTGGCCTCACACGTGCATCCATGGGAATGCATGCCTGCACACGTGTACATGCACAGGCACACAACACTCACATAAGAGACTCCCCAAAAGTCACAAGGGTAAGATTTTTTTTTTTAGGAGACTAGCATTAACTGATACTTAAAAATACTCCCAAAATAGGCAATGTTAGTGTCTGCCATCAGTTGCCCCAGCCCTGTCTGTTTAGTAGCACATCTAATAGAAAAGGGAGGAGGCAGATGCAGATCTCTGTTAGGGGGCCCAGGCAAATGGCAGGAGGGCATTGCTTGCACCTTTAGTCAGTATTATGGGACAACACTGTATTTACTAGAGCTTGTTTGGTTTTGTAGGGGGAAAAAACAAAACAAAACATTATTTAGCTCCAATCAGTTTGGTGTTTCAATATGAAAATGTCCTTCAAAACCAGGTGTTTTTCTCAAAGAGCAGTGTGTAGTAATTTTCAGCCATCTGTGCAGTAAATAAAAATCTACACAAACCTATGTCCTGTGCTGTTAACCGCCCTTTCATGTGATGCTGGTGAATATAAATGACTTGATTTACTCAGTATTTGATAACTCAAATACTTGTTCTCTTATAATGTCTGCCTACAGAATCCCCAAATGCTCTTGGTCCTAAAGCTTTCAGAGTGACTAAGGTGAGTTTTCAGCCACAGGACAACTGCAGGTGGTCTTACATTCACAACACAGCTGGGCTTAAGCCAGTTTACACTGCTGAGCTCAAGGATTGGGCTCTGGATTTTAGCAGCCAGGTCCTAGCCTGACTTGCCCTCAGGTATGCACCTGTATCACTTTGATCTACCTAAAGGAGTCTTAATAGAGAAGGTCCCATTTAAATGATAAATGGGCCTAGAATGATCTCCTTTGCTGATTTAGGTGAAATTATTTCTAAATAGGGAAATTCTTTACTATCTTTTAAGATTTTCATGGGGAAGAATGCACCATGAAGGACATTACATCTGTCACCTGGGTACTGTCCCTAGGAATTCTTTTCTTGAATAGATTTGGGTGCCAGAGATGGAACTTGGGGCCTCATGCCTGCTGGAAAAACACTGTCAATGTGCTACAACCCCCAGCCCAGATTGTTTTGTGAAATATGCTCCTAGACCAATAAAACTCTCTAAGGGATTAAAACCTTTCCAAAATGGATTAGGAGATAAAACCTAACTTCAGAGCGCACAGAATGGTGCCTGGATATGTGAGGGTCTAACACACTTTGAGTCTTTTCCAGTCTTTAGAGCTACTACCATCCTGCCTTATATATAGCAATTAAGTGATGATCGATTATCCCCCCCCCATCACCCAGCTCAAAAGTGGCAGCGTTAAAATCAGAGTTTACATCTAGTGCTTGCTGATTCTCATCTTGGTATCTGACAGGTTGCCATCTACATGTTTAAGACTGTATAGCAAAACTGTGGTTATGAGGGTTTCACAGCACACGTGAGGTATTAGGTTCAATCCCCAGTACTGGAGGAAAAAAAGAAAAAATGGTTAGGGTTTAGCTCTGCCACTTAACAGCTGTGATGTTAGGCTGAAGAATGGACTCAAAAAAGATAACTGCTCAGAATATAGATTGTGGATCTAAGACAGCCAGGAGTTGACACAGGCAGCAAGGAATGTAGAGAAGCTTTCAGTGACTTTAAAAGGTGGCACGCTCACTTTAGTTGGATAAATGACCCCCCCAACAGACAGTGAATATTCAAACAGCCCTAGAAGTAGTCACGGAACAAGAATGCTGTGATGCTTTTTTAATTGCATGGGTCATTTTAAATAAATGGAGAAAGCACCTTCCAAAAGCTACACTAGCAGGAAAAGATTCCATCAAGCATTTACATAGTAAATTTCTATAATTTTACAAAGATTCTTGATCTTCACTTGAACTGTACGTGAGGGAAAAGGAGCCCCCTCAGGTCTGCTTGTAAAAGCAAACTAAAGTACCTAAAACCAGAGGCAGACCTGGGATGCAGAGAAGGGGAGAAATGATAAAGTCTGTTCATAAATTCCATGTCCACTTTAAGACATGTCAGAAGGCAGGCATGGTGGTACACACCTGTATGCCCAGCATCTGGGAGGTGGAGGCAGGAGGCTCAGGGGTTCCAGTCAGCCTCAGCTACATAGGTGAGTTTGAGGCCAGCCTGGGCTACTTGAGACAAAAATAATTATAAAGACACATGTCAAATGACCCTTGCTATAAGTATTATAGGGCACACTACTACCTTTAAGATAAAAATACTATCTCAAAAGCTGGAGTTCAGAATTATATAGTATCTTTGAATACCTTGGACTGCTGAATATCAAAACACAATACTTAAAATCCTCTATAAGTTCTGAACAAATACTTTAGAGGCATTCTCTAGGGCCATACACCTCTACTTTGGACTTTTTCAGTGAAGCATAGACAGGCCTCTCTGCTATCCTCTAGGCAGTGTAATAGTCAAGGAAAAGGGCCCAATGTTGGGAGGCTCCTTAGACACTAATCAGCTGGGGAAAGAGTTCATTGGCAAAAGTGTCCTCCCAAGAATGGTCTGTACCAAGTGGAGAGGACATGTCACTGAAGGGGGAAGGGGAGCCCTCATAGCTACAGTCACTGTAAGCATCCAGCAGGCAAGAAGGTGGCTTCAGACAGTGGCTAGATGAAAGCAGATTTGAGATGCCCAGTTCAGGAATTAAGTCACCTTCCAAAGGTTCTTTCTTCACTGAGACAATGAATTCAGGGTGATCTGTCTCTGAGGGGCTGAGAGGTGCTTCCTCAATTTTCACGACCACATTAGTTTGGCTCTCTGTCTCAGAGGGGATCTCTAAGACTAGAGGCTTGGTGTATACATGGTCAAAACGAATGAGTTCATTAATGGCTTCCAGCTTGGCTGATGAGGTCCCCATTGACAGAGAAAGGGAGGCTGGTAAGGAACTAGGTTCTTCTGGGTTGACCTCTGGGAGTTCCTCCAGATTGGCAGACTCTGGGGAAGGGCATTTGAGAAACATGACAGGGTCCAACTTGTCCAGAATGCCCAAAAGGATATCAGACTGCAAGCAAAACAGAGAACTGTTAGAATGCACATAACAATGAGCACTGAGAACACTCGCACTTCTGGGTTCTAAAATACAATTAGTCATTACGCTCTAAGAGACCACAGGACCCACTAGACCAGCTTATCCCCATGCCATGACCTAAATCACTGGGGATTAGGAAAATGACATCACTGCTAATCTCACCAAAACTAACATTGTCTCCATCTGCCTGGTTAGGAATGTCAAACATCAAATCAGTATTATAGAATGACCCAGTCATGTAGCTTTTTAGTAAGGCAGAATGATCTCTACCTCACAGTCTGAAGAGTCAACAGCATCAGAATCCATGGGGAGAAGTCCTGGGGAGGTGACAACTGGGCCTGCACCTGCTGCAGAGGTGCACGTAGTCTGAGTGCTGCGGACTCAGCAGACCCGGCCACCGGCCTCACTCCATTCCCCTGGAAGGAAAACCAAAATGATTAAGTAAACAGGCATAAGTCCCCAAGGAAATGCACACTAGGCAGCTGTATTCTCAGCATTTCAGAAAGCTAGACAGGAATGAAAAATTTCAACATGGCCATGTGTGTGGCTGTAACCCCAGCTGTGGGGAGCAAAGTCAAGAGGATGATGAGAGCTTGCTGGCCACCAGCCTAACTCAAGGTTCAAAGGAATAAGGCAGAGATAGATCAGGACAGCCACCATCTTCCTTTGGAATCTGTGCATGTGCACACACCACATACATACATACACACACACACACACACACACACACACAAATATACACACACTCCCTACACACACCAATAAAAAGTAGGATATACCTGTAATTCCAGCACTTAGGAGGTGGAGGCAGGAGGATCACTTCAGCTACAGAGAAAATTTGAGGCCAACCTGGGTTACATGAGAACTTGTCTCAAAAAAAAAAAAACCCAAGAAAAGAACCCACTGATAGTAGTTCATGCCTATAATCCTAAAATCCTAATACTTGGGAGACTGAAGCAAGAGGATTATGAGTTCAAGGCGAATTTGGATTACACAGACCTTGTCCCAAAAAATGAAGCCAAAGAAGCCAAGAAGTTGTACTTTGCTCTTTATGGTCTGGTTCTACTTGACACTTGTTGGCTATTAGTATTTGTTAGTAATTGTTCTAAGAGAGTCATGTAACTTATTTTAATTATTAGGACTTAGTAGCAGTTCATTACACACTTGAAAACTGACTGTCACTGAGAACAAGAATATCCTGCCTATTTGGAATATGGAGAAACTAAGGGAGATTTCAAGAATGCTTTTGATTGATCAGATAGACATGGTGCCACATGCCTGCAGTCCTCCACTTGAGAGGAAGAGGCAGGAGGATTGCTGCCACCCCAAATTAGATATTGAGGCCCTGTCTCAAAAAAAACAAAAAAGGAAAGGGGAATGGGAAGAAGGGAAGGGAGGGGAGGGGAGGAAAAGGAGAGGACAGAGATTTTCATCCGAACACAAATATAATCTGGTCATGTCACTTGTAACCAGTTCTCACAAGATTTACCTTGGTCTCTGCCTCTGGCTCCTCTTCAGTAACCAGAGCATCCATTCCCAAGCGCATTCTTAACTCCTGGTTCTCAATCACAAGGCCATGCGTTTTCTCTCGTAAAAGCTGATTTTCTAACAGAAGTTTTTGGTTCTGGAAGACAATTCATAACAGGCTATTAAAACATTTAAGAATTGGGGGCTGGAGAGATGGCTCAGCAGTTAAGAACACTGACTGTTCTTGCAGAGGACCTGAGTTTGAATCCCAGCACCCACATGGCAGCTAACAACTGTCTGTAACTCCAGCTCCAGGGGATCTGACAGCCTCTTGTCCTCTGCGGGCACTGCATGTCAGGGGTGCACTTACTTATATGCAGGCATAACACTCATATACATAAAATAACAAATGAAATATTTTTTTTTAAATTTAAGAATCTACTTGAGTTTCACAATTGGTTTCCTTCTTTAAACTCTATGCTTAAGTGGCTGCTCATAGTCCACATTAGAAGACCAGTCCCTAATTATGGAAAAAAGTGATATACAAAGTGCCACAGACAGCTAGTGATGTAGCTCAGCTAGCAGAGCATTCATCTAGCATGCATAAAGTCCTGGGTTTGACCCCCAGCACTGCATAAACTAAGCTTGGTGGTACATGCCTGTGATCCCAGCTCTTGGGAGGTATAGGCAGGAGCAGAAATTCAGGGTCATCCTTGGCTATACAAATTAGAGACTAGCCTGGTATACATGAAACTGTCTCAAAAAAAAAAAGTGTCATGGAGCCTCATATGGTGGTGCAGACCTGGATCCCAGCACTCAGGAGCAAGAGGAGTTGAGTTCAAGGTCAATCTCTGTCTAAAGAAAACAGCAGAAGAGCCACTGATGATATCAGAAACAACAAAATGACTCCAACTACTAACACAGCTTCAGCAAAGGGTGAGTTATAGCTTTAATTTAGATTTGATGCATTAAAATATACTATCTTAAAAAAATAAAGCCTGGTGAAGTGGCTAATGCCTATAATCCGAGCACTCAAAATGCTGAGACAAGAGGATTGCCATGAGTTTGAGGCCAGTCTGTGTTACCTAGAGAGTTACAGGCTAACCTGAGACCTAGTCTTAAAACAAAACAAAACAAAACAAAACAAAACAAAACAAAAAAACATACCAAATCTATGGATGAGCTGGGCATGGTGACACACATATCTGTAATCTCAACACTCCAAAGGCTGAGGCAGAAGGATCTCAAATTCAAGGCCAGCCTGGGCCACATACCCATTAAAAACTAAAGGGCTAGGAGTGGTGGTGGTGCACACCTTTAGTCCCAGAAACTTGGGAGGCAGAGGCAGGTGAATCTGTGTGAGATCAAGGACAGCATGGTCGATATACTGAGTTCCAGGCAGCTGGGACTATAGGGAGACCCTATTTCAAAACAACACCAAAAAGCAAAAACAACAACAACAAAAAAAAAATCCAAAAAAACCAAAGAGGAAGTGGTTCAATAACAAGCAAATGGAACCAGCCTGGATGCCCATCAACAGATGAATGATGAAAATGAGGTACATATACACAGTGGAATATTACTCAGCTGTAAAGAAATTGGCAATAAAATGGATAGACCTGGAAAGTATTATATTGACTGAGGTGATCCAAACTCAGAAAGCCAAAAACCTCTCGTCTTCTCTCCTAGGTGGATCCTACCTTGCCATGTATACATGCATGCACATAAATGGGAGTAAATGTGGGTAAAGCCTAAAAACCTAGAAAGACCAAGAGAGAGTAAAGAGAGATGCTGGGGTGGGGGGCACAAAAGTACCAATTAACATGAAAGCAGAAAGGAGACTGGGGGCGGACAGGGTACCAGGTGGGCAGTGAGAGGGAACCAGGAGGGCAGTGAGTTGGGGAGACGAGTAGGAAGAGAATCAACCAAAACAAATTGTTGAAAATTCCATGATACCTAATATTTTTGCATGCTAGTTATAAAATAAAGTGGTAGTGGTAGACTAGAATACAAAATAAGGTTTTGTTTTGTTTTTTAAAGAAACTGCTATTGATATGACCCACATTTAAGAACCAGCTAATGATTCATAACAACAGTAGTCGGGCACGGTGGTGCACACCTTTAGTCCCAGCACTCGAGAGGCAGAGGCAATCGGATCTCTGTGAGATGAAGGCCAGCATAGTCTCCATAGCAAGTTCTAGGCCAGCTGGGGCTAGAGGTAGACCCTGCCTCAACAAGACCAAAGGGGGAGGGGACAGCAGTCACCTAGATAACAAGTAAACTCCAGAAGTGAAAGGGCAACTTTAGTGAACTTTTGACCAAGCCAGGAGGGCTCTAAAGTTTAAACAATGATTTCCTATCTGTCCTCATGAATTCTAAGCTATCTATTGATAGCATCCTAAGCCACAGGGTGAGTCAGCTCTACTTCCAGTAAGCTTCACTCCTTCAACATTACCTACTGTGGCTTAAACTAGTTAATCTTTAAATTACACTTGAATTGTATTCTAAAGGACTGAAGGAGCTTGGGATAGACAGTGAACACCAGGGATGGCTATGGAAGGGAACAAAGTGTGGCCTGAAGTCGTTTTACCTCTTCTTCCAAATCTACCACCTGCTGTTCCAGCTCACTCATCCGAGCTTTCTTTCGATCTCGGGCAGTCTGTGCTGCGACTCTGTTTTTCAGTTTCCTGAGAGAGAAGAACAAATTGGAATTGCACCATCTCCAACTTTTTTTTCAACTTTATTTGAAAGCTTGGTCAGCTGGTGCTTTCTTTGAATTGACAAAAGGCAAAGCAGTGGTAAAATACACTTCAGGCTCAAAAAAGACCCAGCCTTCTGCCAGTGTGCCTTGAACCCTTGCCTTAATCTTTACTAATCTGGCTTGTGTGGCCATCCACGTGGTCTCTCATTCTGACCATGGAGCTGAGAACATTGATGATACATCATAAGGATCTTTCCTCTTCTCCCGTGGCTTCCTGATTCCAGTTCCACCCAACAGGATCTATCCTGGACCCGGGGTTTCCCAGGAAGGGAGCGATGCAGCTAGGACTCAAGCCCTCCCCTGCCCACTGTGGTCCCAGTGTTGAGTTCCCAGGCCGCTGCAATGACAGCCGGGGAAGACACTTCTTCCGGTGATCATAAAGAACATTTGCAGAGAACTGAGCACTACCACCTTCTGTGCCCATGTCAGTCTCCCCAGGGGCACAGACTGAGAGTGACCAGGCAGTTTTAGAGTTCCCAGACCTCTCCGCAGAGCTGTCACCGCAGCCCTGTGCCTCTCCGGAGGAATAGGTAAAGCAAGAGGCTGAGCTACAACACTTTACAGACGGAGTTCAGAGAGGCCGAGCGACCGACCTGGGGTCGCCCAGCAAGAGGGTCTGAAACCCAGACGCCCCCACCTCCGGCTCGGGTAGCTGGGCCCCCGCAGTCCCGGGCTCAGCCCCAGGCTCCACCCCGGCCTTCCCGCCCCGCCCCGTGCCACGCTGGCACCCGCGCCTCCAGGCCCAGACCGCGGAGCCCCAGCCAGGGCCCCGGCCTCAGGCCAGCCACCCGAAGTTTAAACAATGATTTCCTATCTGTCCTCATGAATTCTAAGCTATCTATTGATAGCATCCTAAGCCACAGGGTGAGTCAGCTCTACTTCCAGTAAGCTTCACTCCTTCAACATTACCTACTGTGGCTTAAACTAGTTAATCTTTAAATTACACTTGAATTGTATTCTAAAGGACTGAAGGAGCTTGGGATAGACAGTGAACACCAGGGATGGCTATGGAAGGGAACAAAGTGTGGCCTGAAGTCGTTTTACCTCTTCTTCCAAATCTACCACCTGCTGTTCCAGCTCACTCATCCGAGCTTTCTTTCGATCTCGGGCAGTCTGTGCTGCGACTCTGTTTTTCAGTTTCCTGAGAGAGAAGAACAAATTGGAATTGCACCATCTCCAACTTTTTTTTCAACTTTATTTGAAAGCTTGGTCAGCTGGTGCTTTCTTTGAATTGACAAAAGGCAAAGCAGTGGTAAAATACACTTCAGGCTCAAAAAAGACCCAGCCTTCTGCCAGTGTGCCTTGAACCCTTGCCTTAATCTTTACTAATCTGGCTTGTGTGGCCATCCACGTGGTCTCTCATTCTGACCATGGAGCTGAGAACATTGATGATACATCATAAGGATCTTTCCTCTTCTCCCGTGGCTTCCTGATTCCAGTTCCACCCAACAGGATCTATCCTGGACCCGGGGTTTCCCAGGAAGGGAGCGATGCAGCTAGGACTCAAGCCCTCCCCTGCCCACTGTGGTCCCAGTGTTGAGTTCCCAGGCCGCTGCAATGACAGCCGGGGAAGACACTTCTTCCGGTGATCATAAAGAACATTTGCAGAGAACTGAGCACTACCACCTTCTGTGCCCATGTCAGTCTCCCCAGGGGCACAGACTGAGAGTGACCAGGCAGTTTTAGAGTTCCCAGACCTCTCCGCAGAGCTGTCACCGCAGCCCTGTGCCTCTCCGGAGGAATAGGTAAAGCAAGAGGCTGAGCTACAACACTTTACAGACGGAGTTCAGAGAGGCCGAGCGACCGACCTGGGGTCGCCCAGCAAGAGGGTCTGAAACCCAGACGCCCCCACCTCCGGCTCGGGTAGCTGGGCCCCCGCAGTCCCGGGCTCAGCCCCAGGCTCCACCCCGGCCTTCCCGCCCCGCCCCGTGCCACGCTGGCACCCGCGCCTCCAGGCCCAGACCGCGGAGCCCCAGCCAGGGCCCCGGCCTCAGGCCAGCCACCCGGCCCACCTCCGCAGCGCCTTCTCCTCTGGGCTCAGGTGCGTGAGGCGCTGCCGCTTGCGGGCCTGCGGCGCCCCGCTCGCCTCCGGCCCGGCTCCTCGCAGGCCCGGCACCATGAGTGGCAGCGTCCGGCCGCCCGGAACTCCCGCGGCGGCGGCGGCGGCCGACTGGCCGGACAAGAGCAGCACTTTGGGGGCCGCCGCGGCCGCGCTGGCCGCCGTAGTCACCACCACCATGGCTAGAGACTGTCTACGCCAGCGCAGCCACCTCCCCGCGGCCGCCCTCCGCGCCCAGCCTTTCTACAGTCGTGGCCGTTCGTGATTGGCCCGCGCAGCGTGACGTCGGCTAAGCTCTGCGCCCATTGGTCAGACTGGCTCAGGGGCGGGCCCAGCGCGGAAAGGGTGGGTTTCCAGCGTGGCGGCCGTGGGCCCCGCCAGGAGAGTCAGGCCTGGTTGTGGGTGGGTGGAGGAGACCTGCGGCAGGAGGCCCGGGTCCACCGCGCACCACGTCACCACCTCACTGACGCAGTTTTTCTCGGTATGCCAGGCTTTAATTGCAAACCCAGAGATTTCCAGACCAAGGAATTTCAGCCGAGTCTCCCAAGTGCAGCGGAAAATCAAGAAAGCGCGTATCTGGCTCTGGCTTTGAGGGGGTGGGGGGGCTCTGGCTTTGAGGGGGTGTGTGGGGTGGTAAACACCTGGAAAAAAAATCCACAAAATATGAGTCTTTAGGAAATGAGATCATTTCAATACTGAATTTAGTTAGGTGTGGTGGGTATGCGCCTGTAATTTCAGCACTAAGTTGGCTGAAGCTAGAGAATGGTCGCAAGTTCGAGGCCAGCGGTGCCACAGGGTGAAACCCTATTTCTTTCTTTCTTTTTCTTTTTTGTTTTTTGTATTTTTGAGACAGGGTCTCCCTGTAGCCCCAGCTGTCCTGGAACTCACAGAGATCCGCCTGCCTCTCTCTGCCTCCCAAGTGCTGGGACTAGAGGCGTGTGCTATCACGTTCGGCGAAACCCTATTTCAAAAATTAAAAATAAGCCGGGCGCAGTGGCGCACACCTTTGGTCCCAGCACTCAGGAGTCAGAGGCAGGCTAATCTCTGTGAGATGAAGGCCAGCCTATAGCTAGTTTCAGGCCAGCTGGGGCTACAGGGATACCCTGTCTCAAAAACACCAGTAAATACACCAAAACCCTAAGTTTAGCACATTAGTATGGGGTTAATAAATAATATGTTCAGATAGTCGGAGTTCATGTAGCTTCTTTTTTTTTTCTTTTACATTTCCAAACTCTGGTATGAGCTTACCTCACCATCTTTTTTTCTTTTCTTTCTTTTTTTTTTTTTTTTTTTTTTTTTTTTTTTTTTTTTTTTTTTTTTTTTTTAGTAGGACTGGGCTTTGAATCTAGGGCCCTGCTCAAGCTAGGCAAATGATCTACCACTGAGCTGTGTCTCCAGCCCTAAGTTTCCTTCCTTCCTAGCTTCCTTCCTTCCTTCCTTCCTCTCTTCCTCTCTTCGTTTGTATGTGTGCCCACCCTGCGCGTGCCTGTCTGTGTGTCTGGGAGGTCAGGGGACATTAGGTGTCCTTTGTTGCTCTTGGCCTTACTCCCTTGCAACTGAACCTGAAGCTTGACCGTTTGGCTAGGCTGTCTGGTTAGTGAGCCTCTGTGACCTGCCTGTCTCTGCCCCAAATACTGGGGTCACAAGCAGGCACAGCCGCGCTGGGCTTTTAACATGGGTACTGGGATTCATACTCCAGTCTTTGTGTTTGTGCGGTAAGTACATTTGCCCACTGTCTGGTAGTAGAGACCCATGTGAAAGGACCTTGCAAAACTTCCAGAGGCTCTGAGGAAAGACATGCAATTATGTCATGTTATTTATTAAGATTTATTAGTGCCAGGGCTGGAGAGATGGCTGAGCAGTTAAGAGCACTTACTGCTCTTGCAGAGGACCCAGGTTCGATTCCCAGCACCCATATGGTGGCTATAAACTGTCCTTCTCCCCTAGCTGCTACATTAGTATTTTCTAATGAAGAAATAAAATGTTACATGTAAAAACAGACTGGAATAAACCGTATGTCCCTTGGCCTTCTGGGAAGTCAGTCAGGTGGTTGTAGTTTAAGGAGGGCCTGGAGCTTGTAGAGGAGTAGTCCCAGGGAGAAAGCTAACAACCCTCACAAATGCATGTTCATTTTCTCAAAACAAATTACAAATGTTAAGGTCCCTAGAATTACAAAGCAGAAGCTTCACAAGTGGTTACTGCTTTCTACCTGACAGGATCCCAGGTTCTAGAGGTGCAAAGATTAGTAAAACTGATAGCTACCAAATCTGAGTGCTAAGCCTCAAGTTTCCTTTTAGTAGGAACTAAAAGCAAGTCCATATCTTGATATCCACCCTTTAAAGGAACTGTTTTTATTATTCCCAGAGCTGAGCTGTGAGCCTCCTAGCATGTAGTTTCTTCATCCATGCTGATGACAGAAATCAGCCACTGCTCCTTTAAACTAGCTGGCCCAGCTCAGGCTGTCTGGAGCACACACTGTTTCTGTGGGTTGGTAAAGAAGAAGGTGATCAAAGTTTCTATAGGACAAGAAATCTGCCTCTCTTCAGTCATGAGGTGCTAGATCCTAGCCTCCAGTGCCAGGAGACTCACTCCTGCCTGTGGGATCTTTGGGGAGAAGTCTTTGGAGGTGTCTGGTGGTAGAGACCCATGTGAAACGACCTTGCAAAACTTCAAGAGGCTCTGAGGAAAGACATGCAATTATATCATGTTATTTATTAAGATTTATTAATGGTGCTGGAGAGATGGCTCAGTGGTTAAGAGTACTCACTGCTCTTACAGAGGACCCAGGTTCGATTCCCAGCACCCACATGGTGGCTACAAACCGTCCTTCTGACCCCCATGGCATTGCATGACACAGTACACTCACATACATGCAGGCAATACACTCATACCCATAAAATTAAACAAAAAAAATTTTTTTGGTCTTTTTGAGACAGGGTCTCCCTGTAGCCCCAGCTGTCCTGGAACTCACTATGTAGACCAGGCTGGCCTTGAACTCACAGACATCTGCCTCTGCCTCCCGAGTGCTGGGATTAAAGGCGTGTGCCACCACACCCAGCAATAAATGTTTTTTTAAAGATTTATTAATGCCAAGAGAATGTCTACACAGTATGAAAAATCCCAGAGAAATAATGGAGTTTAAAACATCTAGGGACTAGCAAGATGGCTTATCAGGTAAAGGCGCTTGCTTCCCACAAGCCTGACAACCTCAGTTCCTGTGGGATGCATGCCCAATCATATCATACACATACACACACAACAACAACAATAATTTAATAATGCATACTCATAAAAAGAAAATACAGGGTTGAAGAGCATTTGCTTAGCAAGCATGGGCCCTATGTTCAATCTCTAAATTGGAAGAAAGAAAGAAAAGGAAGGGAGGGAGGGTTGGCAGGCAGAAGGAAGGAAATGAGAAATGAGAGAAAGAAAAGGAATGTAAATGGTTCCTGCAGGGCAAAAATGAGTAATTCTGTGGGTAGACAAAGTACAAGATAGGAGGCAGAGGAGAAGAGTTCAGTGTCTTGCATTCTGGTCTTGGTTAATGGAGTAGAAATGGAATGTTGATTTTCACGCCCTCAGATTTATTTTCCAGGCCTTTTATCTTTCTGGAAAACATTTAAAATCATACTAGAAACAATAACTTGATCCCATTACAGATCGCTGTCTATGAAGTCTTGAACAGTTCAGTGCAAACCCTTGAACGGTTTCATATCCTCTGCAATATTAATTAGATAATTCTTGCATCAGATGCCAGATAAGAGCAGTCAACTATATAAACTGCAAAGTCCTCAGTCTTTGAGACATGTAGAAACAGTAATGAACAAGAAAGCAAAAGAGCAAGGATCTAAGGTTACAGTTTGGGAACTGCTCTGTCTTATAGGACATCCCTGAATGAGCTGCTAAGCACTTGAAATGCCACCTTCTCTGACGGACACTGTACCACATGGCTGTACAGTGGGAATGTGAGAATCCAATCCCTTTCCCTCACCAACAGGTCCACTCTTCATCTCAGTAAGGTTAATGGAGGACAGAATGAGTTGTCAGCTGAGATTTCAGTGAAAATCATTTTTGCTGCTAGATCACTATATGACTCAGCTTTTACTCAAAAGGTATTTAAGGGACATTGTTATGTCAAAAGCCTTCAAAGGCTGACAAAGCTTTGAGCTCCCAAATGCTGGGATTATAGGCATGAGCCCCCAACTCCTGAGTGAATTGCCTGTAGGTAGGTAAGTGCACCTATGTGATGCAGTGCTCGAGGAGGTCAGAAGAGGGCATCAGATTCCCTGGAACTGGAGTTACAGATGATGGTTGTTAGCCTCCGTGAGGGTGCTGGGAACTGAACCTGGGTCCACTGCAAGAGCGGCCAGTGCTCTTAACCACTGAGCCATCTCTCTAGCCCCCTAATTTTTTTTAATTAAAAAAATATGTTTTTATTTTATATGTTTGTGTACCTGAGCACATGTATGTGCATCACTTGTGTGCAGATGCCCTTGAAGGTCAGAAGAGGGCATCAGGGGACTGGACAGACGGCTCAGTATTTAAGAGCACCGATTGCTCTGCAGAGGACCCAGGTTCAAGTCCCAGCAGTCACATGGCAGCTAACGACCTTCTGTAACTCCAGTTGCAGGGGATCTGACACCGCCTTCTGACCTCCTCAAACATTGCACGACACGGTGCACTAACACACATGCAGGCAATATGCTCAGACACATAAAATAATAAAATATTTTTTTAAAGAAATAGGGCATTAGATCCCCTGGAACTGGAATTACAGGCTGTAGTGAGTCACCTGACACGGATGATGGGAAACAAACTCCTATCCTTTGGGAGAACAGGAAGTGATCTTAACCTCTGAGCCATCTCTCCAGCCCCAACATGTGTTCTTTTTGACCTGTCCCTATAACCCTCCCCTGTGCTGGGGTTGAACCCAGGGCCATTCGTGCACAGCAATTGCTCCACCACTGCATCACATCTCCTTCTGTTTCCATTATTTTTTTATTACTTCCTTATTTTCATATATCTGTTGTTAACCAAGTTCAATTGTGAAATCAGCCATTTGTCCAAGCTCTAGGGATGGAATAAAGGGCTCTGTACATCCCAGACAAGCTTTTGAGATACATCTTCCACCCAAAGGACCTTTCTTCCTTCCTTCCTTCTTCCTCCTTCCTTCTTCCTGTGTTTCCTTCCTTCCTTTCTTTCCTTCCCTCCTTCCTTTCTCTCC